CCATAAGTAAAAACACCAGAGCAATCAGCAAAGCCATGTTCCGAACGAAGCTCTAGCTGCCAGGCTCACTTGAGCCGAGACCCTTAGTAGTAGTAGTAGTAGTAGTAGTAGTAGTACTAGTAGTAGTAGTACAGTAGTATAGCCAGCTGTTTCTCCCATGAGACCTGAAGAGCAACCGCAGGAGCATCTGACGGCTACCCTGGGCTGCAGCGTGACCTCAGCAGATGCGCTCTGCCATGGTGCAGAGTCCTGGCAGGACCAATCGCCCGCAGAGTTTCTTGGTGCATGTTTCCGGTCAGCCACTATGCGTTTTGTGGTTGTTGTTGCTGCCAGACGCATTATTAGCCTAGTTCTTGATGCCAATGCGTCCAATAAAGTTATCATCAGCATTCTTGTTGCAGCATTCTTGCAATCTTCGTACTCCTGTTTTCAGGGTCGTTGCGGCGATGGTCATCAGCCTTAGCCCTTCGGTGCAAGAGGAGCCGCAGTCTCGACCCCTCGCCGGAGTCGTTGGCTCTTCTGTGGTCTCTCGGCTGCCTGATGCCTTCACTGAGGGTGCTTTTCGCTCTTATGGGTGGTACTGGCACAAATGAGAAGGAACAGCAGGACAGGAAGAGTAAGACTCACAGCCATAGAAACAAAGCCTATATTATTGCAGTAACGATACCAGTACTTATTCTCCTTACTGTGGTTGTGTTGGTGTTTGTTGTGATGGTGACTGTGGCTGTGCTTGTGGTCGCCTTTCAGCCAGGGTCCACACGAAAGCTACTTTTTCCTTCGCCAGAATCCTCGCCTTCAGAATCCTGGACCTGTGAACCATCCTTGCCTTCACGTCGGCATTGCCTGAGTCCAGTCACAGTAAAGCGAGAGCCGAAGCGGGTTTCTTTCTCAGGTTGAGCATGCCGAAGGGTTGGATGCATGCTTCGGTCGCAGCGGGGTGATCGGACGCCCCATGCCCAGAAGCCCAACCCCTAAGATGCGTGAGCTATGGGGCTGACGAGCAATTTGTGGAAGAGCTCATCGCTTCTGAGCACCGAGAGTGACGAGATCCACTACAGCGAGCAAGATGATCAGGATTTCGCTTCTGACATCTACATCCTGGCGGAAAGCACTACGGACGAGCTCCTAAACCTAAACTCCTGGAAGGTCTTCACCGCCCTGAAGGGTGAGAGCTACCAGGGAAGGCGGCTGGAGAATGCGGCCTGGCGCTTGCATGCCATGCAGAAACTCGGCAAGAGCCCCAGCAAGGAGGCGGAGTCTTGCATCACTGGGCGTGAGGCGAACAGCTCCACAGAGTCCCTTGTATTCGGCGAGGTCCAGGCTCAGCAGGCTCATTCAGAGCCCATCATTCAGGCAACCTGGAGTGCAGAACAGCTGCTTGGGGCCTGCTTGAAGCATAAGCTCTCCAATGAGACAATGGAAGATGTTCTGCAGATCCTGCACAGTCGAAAGTTCGACCCTGCGGATCTTCCGTGCAGCTCCGAGGCGCTCCGAGCCCTTTACCTCATGGCCAGTATCGACCCGTCTGCGCCATCTTCACCCACAGTCTTGAAAGGAACGGTGCGAACAACTTCTGCCTTTATATCGCAAGGGTCCTGAAGCAGAGCCAGCCTTTGACAATCTTCTCCCCAAAGCCTGGGCCCATGAAGGAAGACTTCGAGAAGCTCGGCCTGCAGGTTTCCGTCGTCGACACCACAAGTCCCAGCAATGGTTCTTGCGAACACCATCATGCGCTGTGACATCATCTTGATGGCGCAGGATCTTCAGCTTCCCTCCGTCTGGGTGATTCACGAGTCTTGGCCACAAGATCAGCTGGACCACTATGCGAAGGAGGTGTCATCTTCCCATCGGACATGCAACGCCACCTCTACGACGGCATGTTCCAGCCGGAAGCTGGCAGAACCATCTGCAACGGCACCCCTCTGCAGCAGCTGGACCACTTCAAGCAAACCAGAGACAGGCGAGAAGTGCGAGCGGCGCTGGGTTACACTGACGAGGACTTCCTGGTGCTGCACCTGGGTACCGTCTGCAGCAGAAAAGGGCAAATGTTCTCGGCAACCGCATGCTCCAGACTCATCAAGGACGATGGGTGCACGAATCTAAAGCAACTCATCGTTGGAGCTCGGTACATCAGGGATCATGAGATTCGGTACATTGAGCAGATCTTTCAGGTGGCGGCCGCCCATGGCGTCTCTTGCAGGCGTTGGGAGGACCTGACGGAAGAGGAGCGTGGACGGCCTCAGATCACCGTCATGGACATTCAAGCAGCCGTGTTGCAATTCTACATGGCGGCAGACGTCGTTTTGGTCCCATCCCTGAACGAGGTCTTGACACTGGTCATCTGTGAAGCCATGGCCTTCGAACGACCCGTCGTATGCAGCCGAATTGATGCAATCCCAGAGGCTGTGACCGATGGAGTTGAAGGCTACTTGGTGCCCCCCGGAAGCCCTGATGCCATCCGAGCAGAAGCTGTACAGAGACACGGCCATTTGCCGGAGGATGGGTGCAGCGGGCAGGCCTCGTGTTTTGAAGCAATTCATCTACAGCCGAATGGGTGAACATTATCGAGAAATGCTGGACACAGTGACTACACAGCCAGTGCCAGCCATGCCCGCTCTGAAGGCACCGTCCTTAGGCGAGATGCTCAAGGGCCGCAGTGATTGTCAGCCTGAATCCTAGTTGCTTAGTCTAGTTGGACACAAGAGACCTCGTCTGGCAGAGCCCGCAGTGCCCTCCCAACACCTGGGCACGCATGTAGAAGCCAGAGTAGTTACCAATATACTTTCCGTAGGCCCACAACCCAATACTAATGATGAAGCACTTATATCAAAGAACTCAGCAGCAGCCCAGCTCCAGGAAGTGACGTGGGTGAGGCGCCAAGGAATCCGCGCAGGAGATCTGCGGCGGCCTTGGAAATTTGATCGGCGAGGTGTGCAGCAGGGCTGTCTCAATTTTGATGGGCTTCTTAAGGGGCAGCTCGGGTTTGTTCCTGGCATGCTATGGAAAGATGCCACGTGAAGCTGCGAAAGGTCCTTCCAAACCCAGTCACGTGCCTCCAGCCTGAGTTGGGCATCTAACTACCAAGGCTCTACTATTCGGGACATAGCATCGTCGTCCGCTCCGACGGGCACGCGCTGGTGGAGCGCGGCATGAGATGTAGGGTGATGGCAGAACGAGGCATTGGGGGATTTTCTTCGGGAGTTCGGCTGGGTTCAGTTGGGTGGCAATTTCAGCGGTAAACCCAAGTCAGAACAGTAAGCTCAAAGCTCATGGAGGTGTCACGAACTACCACAAAGTTTTCGTCGAAGAGGCGCGCCATTGGCGTAGCTGCTAGGGCCATTACCTGTAGAACTGGGCTGAAGCTAGGCTCGCAGATTGCACAAGAGCTCCCACTGGGCACCTAGGTCCCAAGTTTCACCTCGACCGACTCAGCACCAATACCTCGCCTGACTTGTCCGAGTGTGCCTGACACCGGTTTTCTTAGCCAGGCCGGGCCAAGAGGAGTCAAAGCGGACATCCATGCTGCGCACCTCTCGCGCACGCCTCCGCCAATACCTGTCTCGGGCAAGGTGAGGACTGGGGAGGGCTGCACTTCACATATGTATGCATGCGTGTGTATACATACACACACACACATATATATATATATACAGACATGTATGTATGTACCTATATATATATAGACATATGCATACATACGTACATACATACATACATACATACATACATACATACATACACACATACACACATACACACAGATATATATAGGTTTCCATATATATATATGTATATGTATATGTATATGTATATGTATATAGAGTTTACACATATATATATACACACATGTTTACATATATATATATATATACATACACGTACATGCATATACACATATAGGTGTAAATACATACGTATGTGTGTGTGTGTCTATGTATGTAACATACGTAGGCAGGTAGGTAGGTAGGTAGGTAGGTAGGCAGGTAGGCAGGTAGGCAGGTAGGCAGGTAGGCAGGTAGGCAGGTAGGCAGGTAGGCAGGCAGGTAGGTGGGTGGGTAGGTAGGTAGGTAGGTAGGTAGGTAGGTAGGTAGGTAGGTACATTTGGATCTGTTTATATCGATGTCTTTGCCTTATGTCTACGGGAAAGTGTCAGCTTGTGTACTTCCCTGCCAACCTGTCGACATATGCATGTAGGTTTATTTTCCATGAGCAGCGACACATCCATGGACAGACAGCACAGATCTATCTGTTGCAGGGCCTCCTTGTCGTAAGTCGCACCCAAGCTTCATTCACCATGCGGCCACTTGGCTCTACAAAGCAATCAACCTTAGCAGACACAACAGGAACGCCCCGAACATCGAACGGCCCGATACCCCCAAAGTGCATGTTCACCAGTCCTGAGGTGGGCGACGTCTTCTACTACGCAGGACCCCCACGCATGGGCCGGGATGGTGCAGAGCTCCAGCCGGGCGAGCAGGGGGAGGCGTCTTTCGCTTCGTTGGCGTTCCTCGCAGTTCTTTTCAAGCGTGGATGTAGGTTGTGGTACTGAGAGTTGAACAATATGGCAGGATGGCTGAAGTCTTTGCGGTCCTATTCCCAAACACATAAGAGAAGGGCTGGAGTTATATAAGAGTTTCTGGAACTCACGAAGTTTTGGGCGGTTTTAGGTCCTTTTTTTGTTCGAATGAGCTGCTTGGTAGGGTGTTAGACTGCATAGCACATTTATTTGCTCGCTCTTCATCCTGAATCCTCGGAGGTAGCAGGTGAAGCTTATAGGAACTACAGAGCTCAGGATTTAGAGGGTTCAGGGCGGATCCAATTTCGAAATGATCCTTGCTCATCCCCTTGTGCTGTCCGCAGTGTTTTGGCGCTGACCAACCCCTGAGAACTTGTATATGGGGGTCGGAATAATGTCCAATAGTATCCCCTTATCCAGAAAGCACAGCAGGCCCCAAAACTTGATTGAACTCATTAGGGTCCCCCTATTTGTTCGGACTGGGAAATTGGCCGAACTGTCCAAAGCCCCGGTGATGAGTATCAGTGTCTGCGATGGGTCGCTCTAGGTCCCTAAACCTAAACGCTGAACTCGTAAGCCTACGCAGAATCCTCCTTGTCAGGTTGTGGAGCAGGGAGTGCTTCCAGGCCTCTGCTTCGTAAAGTCTAAAACCAGCCATCTTTAGCTATGTCGTATTTTGATACAGGCGTCTGAGAGCAAAATGTAAGGTCGTACTCACTGATCTGTTGTGTCTTATGCGGAAAGGTTTGAGGACACTGAAAACATAGTTCTGCACGTAACTGTTGAGTCTATTGATGAAGGATGGATAGGTGCATGAATCGCAAAGGGTCTATTTTTCTATCTATCTATCTATCTATCTATCTGGGTA